AATTAACCTAATATAGCTAGTGATCTCTCTCGAGCAAAACTAGTCTTATTCATATGCCCGAACTTACTATATTTTTAAGTAAATTCACACACATATAAACGCATTTATCTATAGGAATTCAACATGGATTGCATAGCCTATAATTCTTTCGATGTCTTATAATGTCTATGTTAATTATTGCACGAGCTAGAATTATACATCACTACACGATCTCAGTTTTATCCATAAATCAATGAAGTGTTGCGCAAACAAATAATAGCATTAAACACAATTATTAATTAACAAGTATTAAAATGGCATGAATATTGAAATTAAACATATAATAAAATCCTTAAGCTACATCATTAATCTTAATAATAAAAATATTTAATCACTCATTACATTGAAATTAAACACGCAAAAGTGGAAAGATTTTATCAAAAATTGACGGAATGTAATTAATTCCAATTGAAACTTCCTGTTTTCGTCTCCCAAAAGCTGCCCACTAAGCATGTTGTATATATAAATAAATCAAAGGCTACCTTTTTTTTCTTTCCCATAAGCTGCTTCCTGTGCGTGAATGTGTGTATTTGTATATCAAAAAGCTGCCTCCACGTTTTCAACTTTTTGTTGCAGTGTGCGCTTATATATATGAATTTATGCCCAAAAACTTGTTCCACAAGCTGCCAACTTTTGCATGTAAATAATGTGTGTTCAGCCCCTGTTTTTCCCCAGAATTTTGTCGGCTTCTTCTGCTCAAGTTGTCTTTTTTCTCTTTTTCTTCTAATTTTGTCGGCCTCCCCTCTTCTTTTTAGGTAATATAGGAGAGTATTTTGTGGAGATTAAAATTAGATTTTTAGTAGATTGTGATAGAAGTTTTTGAAATGTGTGGTTGAAAAGTTGTGGTACCATGAAAGATGTGGTTAATGTTGATTGTTTGACTTTGACTTCGATTAAAACCAGATTTTAATCTGGACCAAACATGGGCTATATATTATATCAAAGCAAACAGGCCTCTTTTCTAAATTTCAGCCTAATGTTATCTTTGTCTATATATTTAA